AGCTAATTAATAGCCAATTAATGCCACTAGATTAGAGCGTGATTTATATATATATATATATATATATATATATTATAGTTTAACAAATTTACCATAATTTATTTTTATTACAATAAAACGGTGTTTCCCTTGTAAGTACAATCTACAGTCTTTATGTTGTTTGAAGGAGATCTCGTCAATTTATTATAAATTGACATGCGATTTTATAGTATTCAATATTTTATTAATTATAGTTTTATAGTTATCAAAACAAAGATTACTATAATATTTTACTGGAAACTATGGTTGACATTGAATTTTTGTAAACGCAGCGTCAGCATACATAATTTATACATAGCATATGCTAGTGCAGTATTTTTCAGTAAAATATGCCCTTTTTACACTAAAAGACTAAAAAAAAGCTACGTAATCAAACCTATTATTGAAACAGAAGGTAAGACCTGTTCATAGATATTTTATGAAGCACTTACCCTGATACGGTGTCAACACCTGTGAGAGTTTAATGCGATCAAACTCGAATTACTTTACCATAAACGTCACTTGACACTGGGGCTAAAAGAATAAATACATTGCATACATGAGTGATTACAAAAAGATCAATATACGACTTGTAGCCATAGGTGGATATGGCCCGAGCGACGACACCGATGAGTCAAGCGCACTTCCTCGTTTAACTACGGACAGGTCTGACGGACGTCAGTCAGCTCGGTGGAAACTGCCCAGGAACTAATTAATCGTTATAAAAATCCTGAAGCGATTATTTTCCTAAAGGCTTTTCCCAATTCCAGACCATCAATCTCGTCGTTCCGTCTCAAATTAGGGCAGGTGTATGTACTTCGCAACACAACAGCACGTCCAGGTCACGTGACTTTGCGACTTTATAGTCTTTGGTCACGTGACATGGCCGGCAGGGACGAGCACCTGTTGATCAAAGCTGCTGCAGTATTCTTGCTTGACACGTGCAGTCTTAATTAATACACTTAAATTGATTTTAGATCTCAGAAAATAAATCTGTAACAGAACTGTGCGTACTGACATAAATAATATAGGATTAATTCAGGTAAACTAGGTCACTTTGAGACATAAGAGGGCCATGAAGAGATTACCTTAATTCACACTATATACATTAGGGATCAATTGTAAAAATCGTTTCTTCTCCAACAGTAATATGGTGCAGCAGTTAGGTTTAGAGAGTAAATAATTCCATTCATTTTGTCCTAGACCTAGAGGAATTGATTTTAAGGATAACTTATACACCTTTATAGACTGTGAGCTATGAGGTCCATGGTATATGCTTTTTAATCCATGGTATATACTTTTACTTTACTTTTTTAAAAACTAAAATAGATAACTAATACAAATCAAACTACATTAGTTTATCAGTAATCCTAAAAAAATAACACTGAGCCAAACACACATGCTAAAATAAAAACAACTTACTGACACATAGTAAGAAATGGTTATAAAAAAACTGAAACAGAAGTGAAACAAGTAGTAGGAAAGAGGAGAAATAAAAAGCGATACTTATCCTTTGCCGGTGTCCCTGCCCGGTGGAGTCGCACGGTAGAGTCGATGGTCTTTACACGTATTATTATTATTATTTATTGTATATGCCTATGTTAAAGGCAAAAACCTGCATTATTTAAACTGTATTTAATAAAAATAATAATTATGTAACAAAATATTTTTTGGTAGAATATTACATTACCCAGAATTCTGCAACGAAATCTTCACCAATCAGAAAGTCACAACAAAGTTCACCAATACAACTCTTTAGCGCCCAACCATTCCAATGATGCACTGTCAGCCTCCATATGCTCTTTGCATAGTGCAATAAACATTAATTACATGTTTAAAATAAGTTTTTTTTCTCCATTGTTTTTTCTTTCCCTCATTAAAGTTAAGTACACTTTTTTTTTTTTACCAGGGATTTGTCTGATTTTCAAATACGTCTTTGCTTCAGGCTTCTTTATTTGTCAAGGTTTCTTTAGGGTTCTTTATTGTGTTTTCCCTTAGTTCCTTGTCCCATAGTTCAACCACAGACAGAACCAACAATGAAGCAATATTAAAGAAACATACACAGACACACACACTCGCATAATAATAATAATTTAAGAAAATTTTAAATAATATAGACTATATCAAGAAGTAGGATGTGGATAAAACAAATATAGAATAAATGGAAGATAAATATAATAGAGAGGGAAAAGAATGGAAAATTCTGTCATTAATTACACTGTTATTAGGTATTACGTTGGCTCCATGCATCAGCATGCACCACACACATGCGTTGTGGTACTCTCCTGAACGCACAGTGAAGACTGACACACGGAAGAGAAGAAATTGTTGAAGTTGTTATTTTTGCTTTCTTTGCCCAGAAAAGTATTCTCAGAGCTTCACAACATTACGATTGAACCACTGATGTCACACTGACTATTTTAACGATGCCCTTACTACCTTTCTGGGTCTTGAATGTTTCAGTTGTGTTGCTGTCTATGGAGGGTCAGAAAGCTCTTGGACTTAATAAAAAATATCTTAATGTGAAGTGACGTGACATGTGGCCAAGTATGGTGACCCATACTTGGAATTAGTGCTCTGCATTTAACCCATCCAAAGTGCACACACACAGCAGTGAACACACACACACCGTGAACACACACCCGGAGCAGTGGGCAGCCATTTTTTTTGCTGCGG